GTGAGGTGAGGTTCTCTGGAATTTGGAGCCAGGTGAGAATTCTGGGGGGGTTTGGAACCAGGTGAGATCCTGGTAGGGTTTGGGGCCAGGTGAGGGTGCTGGTAGGGTTTGAATCAGGTGAGATCCTGCAGGGTTTGGATCAGGTGAGATCCTGTAGGGTTTGGGGCCAGGTGAGGTTAATGTGGGATGTGGGGCCAGGTGAGGGGGATGGAAAGGTGTGGAAACGGGTGAGGTCCTGTGGGGTTTGGATCAGGTGAGATCCTGCACGGTTTGGAGCCAGGTGAGGATGCTGGTAGGGTTTGGAGCCAGGTGAGGGTTCTGGGGAGTTTGGAGCCAGGTGAGGTCCTGTGGGGTGTGGACCAGGTGAGATCCTGATAATGTTTGGAGTCAGGTGAGGGTCCTGAAGGGTTTTGAGCCAGGTAAGGTTCTGTGGGGTGTGGAGCCAGGTGAGATCCAGCACGATTTGGAACCACATGAGGGTCCTGGCAAGATTTGGAACCAGGTGACGTTCTGTGGGGCTTAGGGTCCGGTGAGGTCATGGTAGGGTTTGGAGCCAGGTGAGGTCCTGTGGGGTTTAGAGCCAGGTGAGGTTCTGTGGGGTTTGGAACCAGGTGAGCTCCTGCAGGGTTTGGATCAGGTGAGATCCTGGCAGCTGTGGAGCCAGGTGAGGTTCTGTGGGGTTTGGAGCCAGGTGAGGGTCCTGGCAAGGTTTGGGGCCAGGTGAGGTCCTGCGGGGTTTTTGGCCAGGTGAGGTCCTGTGGGGTTGGAGTCAGGTGAGATCCTGCAGGGTTTGGAGCCTGGTGAGGTCCTGGTAGGGTTTGGAGCCAGGTGAGGTTCTGTGGGGTGTGGAGCCAGGTGAGAGCCCTGGGGGTTGGAGTCAGGTGAGATCTGGAAAGGTTTGGAGCCAGGTGAGGGTTCTGGAAAGTTGTGGGAGCAGGTGAGGGGGCTGGAAAGGTGTGGAGCCAGGTGAGAGCCCTGGAAAGGTGTGGAAACAGGTGAGGGGGCTGGAAAGGTGTGGGGCCAGGTGAGGTCCTGTGGGGTTTGGAGCCAGGTGAGGTCCTGGTAGGGTTTGGGGCCAGGTGAAGTCCTGCAAGTTTTAGGGCCAGGTGAAGTCCTGATAAGGTTTGGAGACAGGTGAGGGTTCTGGGGGGGTTGGAGCCAGGTGAGGGTCCTGGTAAGGTTTGGGACCAGGTGAGGTCCTGTAAGGTGAGCTGAGGTCCTGCGGGGTTTGAAGCCAGATGAGGTCCTGTGGAGTGTAGAAGCTGGTGAGGTCCTGCAGGGTTTGGAGCCAGATGAGGTCCTGATAATGTTTGGAGCCAGGTGAGGGTCCTGCAGGATTTGGAGTCGGGTGAAGTTTTCTGCCAGGTTTTACCACCAGGTGACAGTTTCTCCAGGGCTTTAGCAGCAGGTGAGGGTTTCTCCAGGTATTTGGCACCGGGTGAGGGTTTCTTCAGGAATTTGAAACCTGATGAAGATTTCTCCAGGTGTTTGTCACAGGTGAGGGTTTCTCCAGGTGTTTGTCACACCAGGTG